AAAGCTCTCGAGATGTGCTATAAGAATATGCAATGAAAAATGGGGTGTTCCATTTAAAAAAATTAATGTGACCTTGACCTGACCTCCGCTACGCAACCCAAGGTCAAACTGATGTGATCAGTAAATACATCTTTTTAAACAACTTTTATCTGAAACATTTTTTTCTAAAATGCTTAGTTTTCGAGATATTTCACCAGTCCGGGACTTTTTAAACACCCTGTATGTGATTAAATTGCTTTCATATTACAATCCTGTTTATAGGAATGGGAGAATAGTAATGCAATAGCTATGTGTACTTACTTTATAACTATCTCCACCATAATGATAATTGTGTTTATGTTTTGTTACACTGGTGAACAACTTATCAGCCAGGTAAGTTTATTTGTGTCAAAATGTCAAACTTTAATAAGCGCTACTATTTCATAACAAATTACATAGTCAATTGCCCGTACATAAATGTAATTGTTTCATCTATTACAAGTACTGCAGCAGTAATTTTTAATTCTTGTTTTGGAAAAGAAAAACTGAAATATGATATTTAATAATTATTAAAATAATCATTACTTAGATATTAATTTAACAATATGCACAATTTTATTCTATGCGTGTTTGATAATAATAATGACAGGCCGAAAAAGTGGCTAGTACATCGTGCGAGCTGGAGTGGTATCGTTTCCCTGACAAAAAAGTACGCGGCATCGTGTTGGTAATGATTGTGTCTAATTTGCCCATCAAGCTCACTGCAGGAAAAATTATAGACTTATCCTTCAAAACATTTGCAAACGTAAGATAATATTTTTAATGTCATCTGCATGTATGTCCGCTGGATTACATTGTCTTATATTGCAAAAAAAGTACACAGTATGTTCTAAACTATTATTAAATTTGTAATAATATTAGTCCATTTCAGTAAATGTGATTCGAATAGTCCATTACTTGTTTGAATATTTGTGTATGGTCTATATATATATTTTATTCTTTTCAATCTTGTAATTAATAACTCTTTTATTATGACAAACGAAATGGTTTCAGTATATTAAGCGAGTAATTGAGTCACATGGTGTTTTAGGTGGTTAAAACATCTATGACGTATTTTAATATGCTTCGAAACGTTACCGATTGAATATTTCTGCTTTAATGATTAAGATAACGATACAAATTGTACATATTGCAATAGTGATATCGTATCATGTTTATTAATAATATGAATGTGTGAAATGCAAATTGGTGTAATGTATAAATATAGAATATGTGTTCCTGATTAAATATATATCTTTTTTGAAAACATATGTATGTGTAAGATTTTCTATTTTACACTGAATTTGAAACGTGATATCGTTATATCAAATATAAGGTGTAGTAAAAAGAAATCCATTATTTTTCCAATAGATGGCTTTAGTAATGTGTATCTCGCGTTGTATAAGTGCGATCGGTTTATGCTAGATGGCGTTAGAAAGAAAGATTTCGTACTAAAAAAAACTTCGTAGACAGTTTTGTGATTGTTTGACTTAGTATTGTTTGAGCGCGCGTCAAAGATGGACACCAGCAAAGAGAAAATACGCCATATTTTACAGTTTTTCTTTGATAAAGGCGAAAATGCAAGCCAGGTGGTTGAAAATGTGAATAGTGTTTATGGTCCTGATACTGTAACAGCCAATCACGCGCAATTTTGGTTTCGTCGATTCCGTTTCGGTAATTTTGATGTCAAAGATGCACCACGCTCTGGAAGGCCAATTGTCGAAAATGTCGATAAAATAATGGAAATCGACGAGTCCGACCGTCATGTGAGCACTGTTTCGATTGCCCAGGAGCTAAACATTGCACAAAAAACCGTTTGGAACCACCTTTAATAAGGCTGGATACAAAAAGAAGCTCGATATATGAGTGCCACACGAGTTAATGCAAAAAAACCTCATGGACAGAATTTCCATCTGTGAATTGCTGCTGAATCGCAACAAAATCGACCCATTTCTGCAGCGGATGGTGACTGGTGATGAAAAGTGAGTCACTTACGACAACGTCAAGCGAAAACGGTCGTGGTCGAAACGCGGTGAGCCGGCGCAAACGGTAGCCAAGCCTGGATTGACGGTCAGGAAGGCTTTGCTGTGTGTTTGGTGGGATTGGCAGGGAATCATCCACTATGAGCTGCTCCCCTACGGTCAAACTCTTAATTCGAACCTGTACTGTCAACAATTGGACCGTCTGAAGGAATCAATCGCCCAGAAGCGGCCAGCTTTGGCCAATAGGAGAGCAATTGTGTTCCATCAGGACAACGCCAGGCCACACACATCGATAGTGACTCACCAGAAGCTCCGGAAGCTTGGTTGGGAGGTTCTTATGCATCCCAGATATCCCAGATATCTGTATGACATCAAAGTATGGCCTTTGACTTTCACTGGATATTGAAGGTACAAACTTGATTTATATTTACACAGAGGAACGATTTATTGAATCAAATAAATGTTTCTTTGGAATAGTCCAAACAAATTATTTAATTGACACAACAAAAATATTTCTTTGGAACTAAGCCGCAAATAAATATACACTTTATAGTCCGGACCGGGCACCAAGTGATTACCACCTGTTCCTGTCTATGGCGAATGATTTTGCTGGTGAAAAATTCGCCTCAAGAGAAGCTTGTGAAAATCGACTGTCCCAGTTTTTTGCCAATAGGGACAAGGGTTTCTATGAGAGAGGTATAATGGAATTACCTTCAAAATGGCAACAAGTTATCGAACAAAACGGTGCATATTTGACCTAAATTGGATCATTCTAACTATGCTAAATAAAGCCTTCAATTTCATGCAAAAATAATAGATTTCTTTTTACTACACCTTATATTTGTATCTGTCTTGTCTTTAGTAATGCAAATGTTATTATGTCATACATTGTCAATATCTTGACAACACAAAAATCTTCTACCTTATAATCGCTATCGATCATGATAAGGAGTACTGTCTATTTCATACTATTTATTTTGTATTAAATATTACCTTTATCAAACAAAAAAATTAAAATAATCATGTAAAAATAGAAAACGAGAAATATTCTTGCAATTGTCCAGGATATATAATAATTTACTACGAATTTTCTGTAATTCAAGAACTATATTCTATACACTACTACACTTATTAGTATTC